CATCTCCTTAGTTGTGAGCCTGTGAGCATGTTTTGCCGCTAATGCGCCAGGTTCAAAGAATTCGGGGTTTGTTTTGTGTCGCTTGCCTACAGATTCCGCAGCTGCGCTACTAAATGCTGCACAAGTCGCATCCTTCCGAAAATGGTCCGACTTATGCCCTTCAAATCAGGGGTTGACAGGAAGCGCAGAGAGGAAGGCCAGGAGGGACGGAAGGCACACGGAGGGAGGATGACAGAAGGCGGCCCGGCGACGCACGATGCTTTTGTGATTTTGTTTTTCTACCGGGAGCCGGGCTCATCGCTGTCAGGACGGCTCTGGCAGTAAATGCCGAATGGGTGGAAAAGACGAGGGTCATCATCCTCGATCTCACTCAGAGGCTAGACGAGGCGCTTTGGTTGGGGGTCTTTCGATGCTGCAGCCAGCGCTACACGTGCAATCACATGAAGCAAGGTGGATGCCAAAGTTGCAGACGTGCTGGTCTCCTGTGGAAAGAGGATGGATGAGGCGACTCGGGGGAGACTGGGGGATCGCCCCAAGCCAACGTAAAGGAGCACGCTTCAAGGTTCACCAACTCCAGATTACACAGAGCTCGAGCACGCAATATCACGCAATAGCTGACGTCGAAGTTTGCCATTTCCGCTGTTCAGGTGGAGGCCCGCCTGGCGGTCTGTGAGAAGAGTGTCGACGACCTGTCCGAGGTTGGGACTTGCCGGGTCAAGGTGACGGGACACAGCTGACGGGGTCAGGCACAGAAGGCTCTTGCACTTGCAAAAGATGCTGGGGGCAAAGATGGTTTGGGGTTTGGGATTGTTTTGCTTTCCTCGGGTCCAGGGAGTCTCTGCATCCTGTACTGAGGTTCAGTCCATCATGCGCGACGTCCTGCTCATCTGGAGCCCACGCACTTTTTGCAGGCTGCAGTGTGTTGATGATGACGAGGGTGCCTTACCTGACAGGAACTCCATCAAGCAACTTGATGCCGCCAAGGCCGACAAGAAGGACTCAAGCCCTATCTTTAGCCATTCGTTGAATGACCGGCTGGCTGGTGTGACAGGACATGGACTCCTTTGCGCTTGAAACAAGCAAGAGGGACAGGCATTTCCATCTTACGTTCGGAGCGTGACCGGGTGACCGGGAGCAGCGGAGCGCCAGGCAGTCCTTGCGCCGCATCGAGGATTTGCAGTCGTCCGTCACGGTCCAACTCCGAGAGGCTTGGGCTACCTCTGCAGAAGGATCTCGCCCAGGTAGTAAGTTTTGTGGGTCCCCGGGCAGGAGACCCTGCGAATACAGGAGAAGTGTGCGCAACTGGACGTGAAGGACGGGGATAGAAGGGTTGTGCATGCAGGTGCATGCAGCTCTACTGGTAGCAGTGGCTTTGCTAGGTCGATGAATCATCTAAGCAGTTCCAATCTCAGCGTCTCTTAGCATTGGCCTTCTTTTCCGTTTTCCCATCCATGGCAACCTCGGCTTTGCCCCTGCAGGTTTCTTCACTGGGAGCAGATGTGGGAGCGACTTGCGGCCTACGTGGAGGAGTTGGTGCGAAGCTTGTCCATCATGCGCGGCCGCAGCCACAGCATCTTTTCTGATTCTGAGGTCAAGCAGGTTGGTGACATGCAATGGGGCAGGACCATGAATCTCCAGAGCTGTATGCAAATTCAGACTGCGGCGCTGTGTCCCATGCACATGCGACTCGCGCCTAGGACTAACTGCGGAGGCTGCCGACCTCCCAGCGGGCGTGTCAGGCCGCTTCGCACTTGACCAGAGCACGTCCAACATAAAGATGACTGAATGAACTCCTTCCAAAGTCTTCGGGTCCTTGTCGGGAGAGATCTCTTCACACATCTGTGTCCAGCAAGGCGGCGCAGCTCTCACTTGAGCCAAGCGCCTCGCGGTATGTCCGAATTCACTCGCTCAATCTCGTTCGCTTATGACGACCACTATGGCATAGAACGGACATCCTTGAAAGTGCAGAATGGCTGCAAAATGGATGTGTGAAACCAACGTCCATTTCAGTTGCATTACAGAAATGGAGTGTTAATTGAATGTGGGTACTGCATCCATTTTTTTGAGAAGGTGTCAGCGAACATGGGCCTTGGCGTCTGATCAAATTGTACCGCTCAATGCCCGAAACGAATCATCTGGAGACCACCCTCCCTTAGGACTTGTCTTGGACGTTGCTTGCAAACCCTTCCGTGACCACAGTCCCAAGCCCATTTCGGGAGTTCTGCTTTCCAGGCTCAGTAGGCCCCAGACCCAAACAAGGCAGCTCACAGTCACAGTTTCGCATGGGGAGGACGAAGCCTTTGCGAGGCAAAATGGATGTAAAATGGATGTTGGATGGCGGCTGGAAAATGGATGTTGGGTTCCGGCCCCCTTGAAAAATGGACGTGTAAAATGGATGTGCGGTTCCGGCCCCCTGGAAAAATGGATGTCGGGATGGACGCCTCCCCGGAAAATGGATGTGAAACGGATGTTGGGATTCACCCCTCCCTGCAACATGGCTCTGACATGGCTCTGGGCTTCGTCCTCCCCATGCGAAACTGTGAGCAGTGCGCACCTTCCCCTGCCCCTGTCCCTCCCCTCCCTCCCAACCGGCCGTTGAGCCTGACCATGATATACATGGATATCTTATTCAAAAACTGAAAAATAATTTTTGGAGGCGGTCGGTTTGGTCTCCCAAAAGATTTTCCGGAACCGGTTTGGTGGATCCTAATTAAAAGCCTAAGCACCGACAGGCGCAGAACGAAGAGAGCACCGTGACAACATCCAGTTCACAGTCCATTTCCAGATCAGAGTGTTAATGGCTGTTCGTTTTACGTTCATTTCCAACATCCATTTTTGTACTCCCAACATCCATTTCCCCTATCTGGGCTTTGCCGGTAATGGGCGCCATAATCGTTCGCTTGCCGCCGGATGTTGCTTTCGCTTCACACACACACACACTTGTGCAATCCTCCCTCTGATTGATACAGTATCTTTCTCAAAATATTTCCTACTTTCAGTGATTCAGAGGCGAAAACCTATAGGCACTAGGCAGGATAGTGGGGTTCTTGGCTTAGCCCCTGGCCGCACGATGGAGAAACACACTGCAGGTATGTCCAGGTGATCAGCCTGGATATCTTCCCAACTCAAGAGCAGCTTCGTGAAAAAGAACAAACATGTAGAAGCGAAAGCGAAAGACTTGGGGACGAATCCACTTCAAAATTCAAATTGAAAGACGGGATTGGTGGTGAAATGTATGTTCAATTTCATGGCTCCTTTCGGCCATGTCACATTGCGTACTAAAGTTGGCGCGCTTTGCTGCGACTGGGTTCCTCAAGCGATTAGGTGCTGTCGTTGTAACCTCCGGAGACTTCACAAGGTGCTGCTCTGCATGACCTTGCTAAAGCAGCTTTTGAACTGTATTGACATGTTTACGCAACTCAGAAAAGATGCATAACAGAAGTGCCTACTCGGTTTACCCGGGTTGCACACACACACACCCAAAGAGCTATTCCTGTTGAGGAGTAACTAGAAAGGGTTGGCACTGACTATGACGGTTCTCAGGTCACAGCCGCAGCCCCGTCATGATGTTCTTAAAAGTTGTCGTCTGGTGTAAGGGTCCTGCCCCATGTGAGGCTTGAGTCCGGGCCTCTTGTCATCGTCGTCCGGCGTAAGCATCCTCTGAATACCAAGAGTAAGTTAGCAAAATTTGTGTGAAGGTTCTCTCTCACTTCGCAAGACGGAAGGAAGACCGGAGCAAGAAACTGCCGAAACGAAAGACGTGGGAACGAATCCACTTCAAAATTCAAATTGAAAGACGGGATCCCTGGTGAAATGTATGTGCAATTTCATGGCTCCTTTGGGCCATGTCACGTTACGTGCTGGTGCATACTACCTTCAAAAGTTGGCGCACTTTGCTGCGACTGAGTTCCGCAGGATTGAGGATTGTTAGCGAGGCGAGTCAACCCAAACGCTTCTTTTGGAAGCAAGCGCTGTTCTTCACAATGGATAACAAACAGGAGACCTCGCGAGCCCTGCAAGGCTGCGTCCCGCGAGTGCAACCTTTCCTCGTGATGGCTCGGAATCCGAGTGCTGACCCGAGGATCCATTTCAAGCCTTGGCGTTTGGAGAGTAGCAGTAGAATTTGCAGCTCGAGCTAAGCTCAAGTGTCACAAGGAACGGGCTTGTTTATGTGAACAGCGAGACCCGCATCAGAGCCACGGATGTTCCAGCCTCGAAGTCCTTCGCAAGTTTGTGCTGTGTCTTGCCCAGTTGCATGCCTCAGGTGCATCCTGACACTCCTCCGTCCTGAGCTGATGAGAGGATGCAAGGCTGTTTGACGCAATCAAGCCGAGGCCGATAGAGCGAGGTCCAGGTCCCGGCATGTCGCGCACGCAGGGGGCTTACATCCAACAGCTTTTGTCCGATCTCCAAGATCGCCGTCTGAGGCGCCAGAGGATGTTCATGGACCCCAGCAGGCGAGCCTCAAAACACCTCCTCCTCCTGCTCTGAAGGGCACAGCTCTTTGCCAGAAGGCCCGCGCCGAGTTGACACGGCCCACCAAGAAATGGCCTCCGGAGGACTGCTCCGAGCTGTGCTGCAGGGGCCAGCTGCGCCTGTATTCATGCGATTCCAGGACCTGTAAGCTAGACGGTGAGGACGGAATTCGCTCTGCACGCGGATGTAAAATTTTGGAAGTGCCAAAGTGCACCAAGTCCAACCGCCAGAGTCGAAATTCAATTCTGGCGTGCTAATGATCTGGCTGAGCCCAACCGGGGCTTGGCAGAGCCCAGCCAAGCGGGCCGGGGCTGATGTGTTTCACTGTCGTGCAGAAGCTGCAGGCACGCGTTTGCAGACACACTGCAATAAAGAACATGCACATGCAGACTACCCTCCCCCTCTCTGTCTCTCTCCCCCTCTTTCTCTCACTCATCCTGACCTTCTTTCCTCCGTTCTGACACAGCTTGACTCATGCTTCTCGAGTTGAGGCCGGCGTTTGCAACGATGGACCGGCGTCCGACATGGCTCAAGAGAGGATCTACACAGTGCCCACTGGTGGGTGGAGGACTGGATACCTGCAAAGCTGCACCTCTCACTGCTCATACAGACTCATACACATTTGGCCAGGAGGCAAGCATGGCCATGGAGGTGAATCGGAGGGGCTGGCCCGCTTTAGAAACGGCTTCCTGTAGGGGCATTTGGCTGCTGCTTGGCTGATTCCAGGATCTTCTGTGCTGAGCAGATCAATGTTCCTCCGGAGCTGCCGGACATTCTCAAGGCCAGGTCATCTCGGAGATGGCTTGCAGAGCATGCTTGCCTGGAGAGGACTTTACGAAGGCTGTCATCCGAGAAGATCCGTCTGCCGGTGAAGCTGACCCCGTGCATGCCTCGCGTGCCGCACGCCGCGGTTGCTTCCCAGTGTAATGTCTTTTGCATAGATCTAGAGGCCAGTGCCAAGATGAAGCTGTACCAGTGGTCTCGAGATTACTTCAAAAAGAAACTCGGCGAGGTGCGGTGCCTTCAATGCGTGTCAGGAGGCATCTGCGATTGGTGCTATTCCGAGGCTTCGGCAAGGTGATTGGCTTCGGGCAAAACACACGACGCCCAAACCGGGCTGTGAAGTGTGCAGAATTGGTCATGGCAAGTGTTTCACCGGAACTGAGCAAGAGATCAGCAGGTTCCAAACAAGCGGCACAGCCCTTCGGTGCACCAGAGATGTGAAGTTGCAGAGATGGGAGATAAAACTGAATCGTCTTGAAAGTCTTGGGTCCGGCAGGCTTAGCTTCTGGGCTCATGTGGGCCGGACACGGGCGAAAGATGTAGATGACTCTACCGCGGCGAAGCTGCCTTGCTGCCAAAACGTGGCCTTCAGCTTAGAAGGCAGTGCAGATACGGTGACTTGCAGCGGATCTGCTTGGAAATTAAGGTGTGTGGGTGGAGTTGGGAGATGGCACACAAGCCGTTTCATGCTTTTCAAGATCTTGTACACGAGATTGAGCAGGACTGCTTGCGCAGAGCTCGAATCGGCGTCGCTTCCTCTCAGATCACGTCTTTTACGGTTCTTTCGCAGGAGTATGAAGAGGAGCTGGCAAGGCTCCGACTAGAGAACACATGGATGCGGCAACGACTAGGCTTCGCGAAGGACCGCCAACCGTGCCCTCCCTTTTTCCAGCGCATTTAAGTGCATTCGCTCGGAGGATGAGCACCTGAACCAAGAGAAGGCCCGACGAATCCTGGAGTGCGCTGCATCGCGACGCCGTACTCGTCCACTGGCCAGGTCTTGGGGAGGATGGCGCTTAGTGCAGCTCGCGAGGCGACGTGGTGTCTCTCCGCTATGCATGCGATCACATGCACACGCCCTCGCCCGTGCAGGCGCCGTCACCGACTTCTTCAAGAGCGGATCCGGACATTCAAGGTGGAGAACCATTTGAGCGGCGTGTGTCTGTAGACTCACTTGGGCAGACGACTTAGCTTCTGCAGTAAATGGTTGCGTTGTGGCAAAAGGGCAGGAACGTTTAGCTTCGACGACCTCAGGAACCGCATGCCTGCCCCAATTGTCGTCAACGGGGGTGTTGTCGAGGTCCTGCACAAGAAAGGCCATTGTTGTTATTGCGTCACGCATGTGCTCTGTTGGTGAAGGCGAAGGAGTTCACGTTTGAGACAAATCCTATGTGGCATACGACCGATGTGAAGCTGTCTGCTTGGGAAACCAGCGACTTTCTCAGCTCTTAACCGGCAAGCACCCAAGCGACCGACCTAAATGTAGATCTTGAATCGCTGAGGCATATCTGCAGAGCTCACCCAAGACTTGCAAAAGGTCGGTCTTCCCATGGCTTCGGGGGTGGGGAGCTTGGTCGCTGTGTCGAACTTGTCCTGTGGTAGCCACATGCTCCTTCCCGCTTAATTCACTTAAGCTTTTCTAGCAGCGCTGTTCGGCTAAACACCCTTTTGCATTGCAGGGCGTCTGAAAAGAGCTCTTTGAACCCAAAGCCCGAAAGCCCTGAAAATAGAGAGTAGGGTGTAAAACATCGGAGACACAGATGGGGGTGTGGTCTCACCTTCACCTTGTACCCATGTCAAAGAAAGACAGAGAGAGAGCCATTTCGTCTACTACTCTCCAAGAGCCACGAGAGTGTGTGTGTGTGTGTATGGTCGACCAGAGTTCGCTCGGCCCTGTTACAACACAGTGGCCCCTCCGGGCCTTAAGGGGCCAACCGCGGCCCCCTCATCCATGCTTGCTGCATCACCCAGCTCTCCGCGGGCCCCGCCCCCCAACCAGAAAGAGCAAGATATACTGTCCGGCGGGTTGGATGGAGCACTTGGCAAGACAGCCCGCATCATTGACCCAAAGCTCTTCTCCTGGCGATCCCTCGCCAGGATACTAAGGAAGGGATGCAAGCACGGAGACAGGAGCAATCTAGTTACTCTAGAGCCCACCACACTCACGCACATCACGCACCGGCAGCACGTAAGGGCCACCTCCGCCAAATGGAACAAGAAGCCATTCCCCTCAAGCTGCACACGTCACGTGTAAATCCAATGTGCCCTTGGCGCGTGGGTGAGCGCCCAAAGCTTTGGGTGGCCCCCCTGGACAAAGGGTAAGGCAGGAGAGCGAAACCTCACTGAAGAGCCCACAAGACTCCACCAGGTGCAACCAAGGCGGAAAGACCAGGTAAATCAGGAACGAATCGGAGACCTCCGTTCGAAATGACCACCAGTGCACAGTTTGTTCCCTACCTTGCCTCCTGGAAGGAGCTTGGCTCAAACGTGAAGAACACGACCCACAGGCTAATGCGGCGATGTCAGTACTGCCCGGCATGTTTCAGAAGATCAGAGCCGCTTGTCCTCGGCAGGGAAGCAGAGCCGCTTGCTTCCATGCCAGGCTTCCAATGAGTCCTAATGCTCCGATTCGGCTTAGCTGGGACGTGGCTAGCATGATCCTCATCAGCCCGTGCCCTGGAAGTCTTGCTGTGATGAGTCGGCTGACTTGTCATTACGTACAGCAAAATGTTGTGTGCATGTCGTGACGAACTCTCCTGTCGCTTTTTCACTGCAGGTTATGATGTTTGGTGGATCCCGTTGCAATGCTTTGATCCAGCCGAAGATACTGCAATCCTGGCAAGTTACGGCGGTGAGGGCTTGCGGTTCACTGTCCCTGCTTTCGCTGTTTAGAGCAAGCCTGGCAGTTCACTACGCTGATGGGCTGGGTATCGTTGATTTTTTGGACCCTGGACATGGTGGCAACACTGCTGGCTGCGGGCTGAGCATGTTGTGCTGCAGAGCTTCCAGCTTTAAGCCGATGTAAATCGGCGTAATTACCAGCCTTCAGCTACTCTTTGAATTAACCGACCTGTGCTGGCAGGTCGGTTATTTCGATGATGGTGAGCTTGTCTTATCGCCCAAGAGGATAGCCTGTCGGTGGCCCGCCAGATTTGGAGACGATCAATTCCTGGACTGCTGGGGGTCTGAACCAGGTATTTGCGCACATGGTTCCTGCCGGACCTGATCGTGGTTCTGCCTGACTGGTTCACTCGATTGGTGGACCCTGAAGGTGGTGACGGCCTTGCAACCGTGGCTAAGACTGCAGATCAGAAGGCGGACGTGCACCGGTTTGCAGAATGTGTGCTGCAGCGACTTTCTAGCTGAGGTCGCCAGGATGATCAAGGGATTTAGGGCCATTCGGATATTGCGACTTCTTCGCTTGCTGAAGTTGCAGCGCTTCTCGGCCAATGGATCATCTGGGGTGGCAGGTTCGGCACACGTTTGTTCAGAATGACTTGTGCACATTTGATGAAGAGTCCAGTAGGCGCACACATTCAAAGTCGGGATGCTTGCTACATTCCGAGTGTTGTCCATATGCTGCAAGGCAATTATGTGAAAGTTATATGTCTATGCCCAAACTGAGCAAGCCTGAAAGGAAAGGCAGTGTAGCATGATCTCTTCAGATCGATTGCTGGGTTTGCGCATCTCCATCCCATCAGCAGTTGAAGAGAGACTAGTTTTCACATGCCATTTGATATGGATTTCTCTGAGGCTTGATGAATATGGTGTATGACCTCATCGACAGTGAGTACATGTTTATTGCACCTTGGACCTCGCCAGCCCTTCTGCCATGAATGCTTGTGTTCTTGCAAGCAGTTGCCCACGGAATCTCGAAGACTCGTGCTCGCTTTGATTTCCGGGGATATCAGGTCTTCACGATGATAAGACTGATAGTTGCCATCACTGCGCCAGCCTCAGCCATCCAACCTGTTCGCTGCTTGGATCTCGCCAAGTGTTTACAGCTGTATCTTCACCAATGTCAAGAGCCGCTCTGCTTCAATGTGATGGGATGAGGTGCTTAACCATGTGATTGCTTGCATTTGGTACCTCGTCGGGTACTTGACAATGCAAGCAGGTTAGTGCCTCAATTGCTTGGGCAGGGCTTTCTTGCTGTGTGTCGCTGCGAGCATCGACTCGAGGAATGCCCAACTGGTTAGAGGACACAGGACAGGACGTCTTCACACAGTAGGGGAGTGGGTCTCATCAAAGCAAGCCGTGCACAGGACTGAGAAATGTCTACACCTCCGACTTTGCTTGGAAGCCCTCGGCTCATCTGGGCTTCTATAGAGAAAGCAGCGCGAGCCATGCTGTTACACGCTGAAACGTGAGGTATCTGACTTCCTTGCACTGGAGCTTGACGCAATTCACACCTGCTTCAATGGACGTGAGCGCCCGTAACGAGTACGAAAGGATAATGTCGATCCTGGTTCCGGGCTCAGGCTGGCCTCAGCTTGAAGAGCCGCCTTCGGCATAGTTTGGCACTCGTCCAAGGTGCTCTTCTTCTCTTTGGTGGCCTTCTCTTCCATTGTAGGACGCAGCCCACTTGTCGTGGCCCTCCAGCTGACCCCGCTCTGACCACCTGGTGCAGGAAGTGTGACCAACTCCATGACTGCTCTTCGAAACATGAGCGGTGACAGCAAAAAGCACCTTGGACGTTTTCTTAGTGCAGACAGTCACTGATGGCCGCAACACCCGAGGCAATTCTGGCTACTTCGCCGATTTCTGAACCACAAAAAAATAGGCAGCGTCTGCGATGTCTCAGAGCTGGATGGCACGGAGTCAAAGCCTGACGCTAGGAAAAACGACATCAGCACGCATCATTCGCTTTCTGGAGCACCAGACTGCCAACCAGCAGGGTGACGTCAATCCCGGTCGCGGACTTTATTGGATGTGTTCAATGATTCTCAATGTGTACTTGTCAGCCCTCCTGAGGTTCCATCACAATCCTCACGCTCTTGTCAGTCCGGGGCCAAGAAGCCAGTCATGGAAAGTACAGAAGTGATCCAAGCCTTTTGATCCCAGGAGCCACTGAAGAATCTGCTGGCTTACGAGCTGAGCAAAAAGCATGTCGAGAACCATCCCTTTTTCTGCCACCTGGAGCACCTCGGCTTCAACCGTACTTTCCCAACCCAGCCGCTGCTACTCGTAGGTAAGTTCACCCACTCTCTCCAAAGCTACAGTGTCTCATGGCCGAATTCTCGACTCGTCAGTCGTCCTTTGACCTGCGCATCGATAAGGCGACGGTCTAGAAGCGACACAAAACTACCTGCCCGGCATCATAGATATTTGCCTGGAGTTGCTTGAGGGTTTAGGGCAGTTTGGGGTGTTCTACCTCCCGAACAGCAACTTCGGCAACTCCAGAAATCCAGTCGAGTGCAGGTACTCCAAAAACCGACGGCTTCAAATGCATCCCTCCCGAAACTGCCTCTCTATCGAAAGAAGCCGGTAAGACTTCAGTTTTTGCTTCTCGGATGTGTAGCTGTGTGCCGGTGCAATCCCACTGGCCTCTCCCAGCGCTGCAGAGGGAGGCGATCGCTGAAAAGCGTTGTTTTGTCATTCTTGTTGGATGGCTGGGCTCACGGGTGTCGTTCCTCAGTCTCAGGCATGAGATGAGCCCGATCCTCGTCAAGCTTTGTGATACAGTTCTACGAACGATTGACCTCGCCAGTGCCGGTCCCGGCCGTCGATGAAGTTAGTCGAATTTGTCTAAGCTGACAGAGGGGAGAGCTTGTCTTAGACAGGTGAAGATGTCGTCTTTCATCCCGGTGAAGAGGGGGAGAAAATGTATTTCGTGAAGAGCGGTCATCTCGAGTGCCCCGACTTACAAGCAAAGACCCTTTGGCTTTGGTGCCTGAGTCTCCCAGCCATTCAGGTACATGCTCCCCAACGGCGAGGTTCTGAGACCTCGTTTGCTGCAGAAGGCTCGAAAGCAAAAGATCCGGTCGAATCGTCCTTGCCGTCGACTGAACCTTCAACCCGTACCGGTGGAAGGCGTGGTTAGCAGAAGCTGTCTTGTGGACCACATGGTGGCACCGAGGGGAGTTCAAGGCAGCATAACACCTCATCACGCTGTGGAAGAACGACTCTTGTATAAGTGAATCTAACTTTCGCATGAGGCGAGCACTCCCTCAGAGCTAGCGATCATTAAGCCGGGCCCGTTCAACGAGGCCAGGTCTGTTGAATTTTGCATTTACTCTCAGAGGAGTTGCTCTGAAAAGCGGTGAGAGGTGATGAAAATGCACCCTCGTCCCTGGAGCCTCTGCAGACGCTATGCCGAAGTTTTTGTCAAGCCGCCTCCTTGGAGACATGTTTGGTTCCACCTTGCGAAGTCTACAGCAGCCAGTTCAATCAATGCAGCGGCTGGCGCTGAGGTTCTTGAACCAGACGGACCACAAGATACTCACAGATGCACTGCTGCCGCATTCTGCATCCATGTCCATGCCACTACATCCACGGATGCATTGCACGAGGTCATATCCCAGGCAGACTATTTTGAAAGACAGCTCAAAAGCTGTGACCGAGACTTCCAGGATCTCGAGGCGGGCTTTTTTGCACATGCCTCTTGTACAAAAAGACAACGACTTTGACTGACAAGTTTCGCAAGCAGTTTGACGCATCCGCGCTGCCCACCTCTGATGGTGATGGGGCGTGGCTTGTCCCAATACACTGTTTGAGGTGCGCTTCGCAAGTACTCAATGTGCAGTTGTCCTGACATGGCAAGGACTCTCGGAGATCTTCCTGTGCCTGACGAGCACGGACAGATTCGCTTATCTGCCTTTTTGCACAGCTGTTTGCGCTTTGCCCGGGCAGCTCAATTTGCAGCTGCATTCCAGGAGCTCTGCAGAACAGACAGGTTTCCGAGATATTTCCCCGAGCACTTTCCAGAGGTCAAGGTATCTTGGCTGCGAGGGTGGTGGTGTGGTCTGCGCACCTAAACTGTCTCAGGTTGAGGCAGACGCTCTGATGCCATCCGCTCCACATCCTGAGCAGCCAAAGCCTATGTTAAGTATGACAGGTATGGTATACAATACTCAATATATTCGCAGGCCAAAACCACAAGAGATACATCGCACCATGGCCGCTGCAAGTCATGCACACAGCGGACAGCACCTTCCATGAAGAGAGCGCCCCAATGCCCTAAACAGCCTCATCGATGTACGGTAGACAGCTTATTTCGATTTTTAATTCGACTCATGCACCGTATCACAAGTTTTACCGAGGAGCTAGAAGACAAGCATCCTTGGACGTTTCACTAGAACAGCATATTTCATGGAGTTCAAGCTAGACAAGAGCCCACTAATATTACACTGATGTTGTCAACGACGCATCAAAGGGATTTGAGCTCCGTGTCTTCAGCCGCACTGTACTGATGAAGCAGCACAGTTTCCACTCGGCTGGACAATTCAGTGCTTTAAGATTCCTCACCAGTGGAGGGTCGTGCTTAAAAAGTTCTCTCTCTCTCTCCCTCCCTCTCACTCTGCCGTTGCGGAACTGATGGTTTGCAAGATCCTGTTGACATTGACAGTCTCCCGGCAGAAGTTCAGACCGCCAATGGCTTGCAGCCCAAAACATATATGAGGATGAAGCCAGTGATCTACTGCTAGCATAGTGCGTCAAGATAGCTTGCCAGTCGACCTCACTGGCATCCGGCGTTCATGTTGTTCATTGACTAGCTAGACAAGCTACGCGCGCGACGACAAGGGAACTCTCAACAATCCATATTGGATATCAGTCCAATCATGGCGCCGCTACCAGCGGAGGTCACCATCAAGCTGGCATGTCTCACTTTTCTGGTTCTGGTCTTCACGTCATTCCCGACAAATGCAATCAAAGCGCTGCTTTCGCAGACTTGCTGTCTGTCATGTTCGCTGCTTCAAGGGGTCGCGTCCTGAGAGCTTTGAAATGCCAGGGTGAACGGTCAGTGGGCTGGGACGGTTGAGGGGCATCTCAGGTGCAAGTTATTTCTACGTACACGGTGGCACCTCGTTTGCAAGATGTGGTCCTGACGCAGCACAGTGTTCTGCCTTCGACTTCGGCTTGTCTTCAATTTGAGTGCTCTCCTTGCCCAGTTCAGTTTGCGCAATTTGTGTCTTGATCACCTACTTGCACAGGTCTTCGGCAGCTTCAGCATGCTCAGTGTCCTCATGGGAGGGTGGCACTCGCATGTAAGCCCGGACATGACTGCAAACTTCAGAATCGCAGGCCGAGAACTGCGGAAACGCACTCAGTCGTGCTTGCAACGGTAGAGTTCTTGAAAATGCGCTGGCCTTAGAGACTTGCTTGCTTGCTTGCTTGCGATTC